ATTTTCTCGTCGACGAAAACTTGAGGTCACGGACAGACGGACAGACGGACGGACAGACAGACAGACGGACATGACGAGCACAATAGTGCATTTTTTCAATAAATGAGAAAATGCGCTAATAATGATATTAATATTAATACTTTAATAAGTTCATGTACATCAATCTCTTTTCTGCAATGCCCAGAAGCCAGGCCCCACGAACATGTGGGCTGTTGAGGCATGCCTTAAGGCACGATTATGATATACGATGCCATAGCTTGCGTAATGGTAAGATTTATTAAAAAATCATTCAGTATCTGGAAGAGCTATTCTATTTGAACTCGAAAATGTGCTTGGCTGAAATATTGAGAGGAAAATAGTCTTGTTTTTAAACTTGAACTAAAACAATCAATAGAATAGAAAAATCGATCATGTCTTTGACCAGAAAGCCAATTTTTGCCATCGATTTCGACAAAAATTGAAAACTCGAATATAATGCGCAGCTGCTGCACTGAAATGCGTCAAAGTTGTGGAACTTTTGACAACTTCTTGGAGGCAAGCAACTTGAAGGATTTTTAAAGTTTTGTTTTATGGTACCAACGGAGAAAATGATCGTTGCTATAGCCCTTTTTTAGTAAAAATTTACCATTTTCTTGAGAAAAAATGCTTGTGTTGAGTTTTGCGGAACTTATGACAGTTTTATTGCATTTTTTTACAATTTATATAAAATTTGACATTTTAAAAATTACCAGAAACTCTTGCAAACATGTAGCTGATTCCTTAATAATGTTCACGTTTTGCGAAAAGTGTGTATACAAAGTAGAAATATGCATTTCTCTTTTAATTTTCGTATAATTTTAACACTAGTTATTAGTTTAATTACAATTTAGTAGGTATAATTTACAGTGGTGTAGTTTGGCAGAAGATTTTCTTTAATGCAGGTTTCATTGAAGACCAGAGAGTATTTCTTATTGACAATTTTCTTATTGTTTTTCTCTATTGATCAAGTAGGACCTTTTTAGGGACTGGTGGAGCCGGTAATCTTTCATTTGAATAAACATGGTTAGCAATTATTTCCAAAGTTTCTTCTGTAGGAACGTTGGTAAAGAGGTTGGTGACGTCAAGAGCCTAATTCGCCGAATAGAGAAAAACAATAAGAAAATTGTCAATAAGAAATACTCTCTGGTCTTCAATGAAACCTGCATTAAAGATAATTTACAGTGTACACCTACATAATAGGTATAATTTATCTCAAGTGTATAATTTGATTTATTAGGTATAGTAGGTTTAATTATAATTAAGTAGGTATAATTTACAGTATACAGTAAGTATATTGTACAGTGTACACCTCACCGTACAGTTTGTGCACATGGTCTCTGACAGCGCTCTCTGCACATCCTCGTCTCTGCACACGGTGAGCCTCGTTAGTCATTGCACATCAATCAATGCGCCGTGAATCCAAACCAATATTATTCATTATATAACCTGCATAATTATTATAAATCTTAATAACTAATTAATTATTATATTTTTTAATGTTAAGTAATGATAAAATTGTTACATCATAATAGAGATATTGAATATAAATTACTGTATTAACTGTCTGAATGCTGCCTTGATATCATGTAATATCATCCATGATATTAGTGAATTTGTTATAGAAATACTAAATAAAACAAGAGTACCTATGTGTTACTGATCAAATACTGTGTATAATTTCAATTGATGCAAATATTATTATGATACAAGAAATATATGAGAATTAAATAAAGATATGATAATTTAATACCATATCAATTAAATGAAGACATGATAATATAATACAATATAAATTAAATTAAGATATGATAATTTATAAATATATAATTAACTTAAGATATAAGAATTAAATCATACCCCAGCATTTGATTGAGAACGTCCTTGGTGAAGGCCCAATTGCGTTCCGTTGCGTCCAGTTTGTTGATGGTGAAGTTGAATGCAGCACAGGATGACGTACACGCGTGTTGATTACACGTCGCACACACGTCCACGCGCACGTCTGACGCGCTGCACGTCAATGACGGGGTCAATAACAGGCCAGTTGTTATAAGTCATCTTAGGTTATTAGTGTATATTAAAAATTATATACTTCTCCACCAGGTATATGACAATTGAAAAGACTCATTGAATCAAAGTTGCTTTCGAACATACAAATTAGTTTTTAACGTTGTTTTGATGTCATTTTCCTAGTATGATACCTAGAAGGATTTTTTCTTGTATGATTAGTTTTAGTGCTAATTAATCAATAAACCTTACTATTACATTTTATTAGCAATAAATTATCTGAAAGTATTACATCTAATTGGCTACGAGAGTAGGGATTCTGATAAGGTCAGACCAGGGGGTTTTAATATAGTCAATGAGCAGTGTTTCTAATAGGTTTAATAGGTTCAAAAAGCAGGGGTTCTAATAGGTTCAAAGAGCAGGTGCTTACACCGGCATGCCGCTGCTGTATATTCTGTATTAACACACCCGACATAAGCAGGAGCGCTGCTGTATATTCTGTATTAACACACCTGACATTAGCAGGAGGCTGCACCAGCAGGCCGCTGCTGTATATTCTGTATTAACACACCTGACATTAGCAGGAGCCAGCACCAGCAGGCCGCTGCTGTATATGTACTGTGTGGCGGCGGCAGCCATAGCCTCCTGGAACCCTGCCTCGAGGCTAGCCGTGCTGTCGTAGCCCTGCGGTAATGTTATGTATGATACTCATAATAATAATGATATTCATAAGAATAATAATATATATCATAATAGTATTATGTGTATCTTATATGATATACATAATAATATCATATATGATGCTCATAATAATATAATATATGAAACTCATAATAAAATCATATATGAAACATATAATAAATATCATATATGATACTCATAATTATATTATATATGAAACGCACATAATAATATCATAATAATATCAAATATGATATTATTATGAGAACCATATATGATATCATATGTGAAACAAATAATAATATAATATTTGATACCCATTGTAATATCATATATGATACTCATAATAATATAATATATGATACACATAATAATATCATATCTGTTACTCATAATCGATTTATTCCCTGTAAATTCTATTGTTAACAAATATTGAAATGTCTTTTAGTAACCTGCTTTTTGATCTGTCAACATCGTTCGCCTCATTATAAAAAATATGACTAAGAAAATTATTAATATAAAGACTTCTCATTCCTCCAATTAAACAATTAAATTTGTATAGAGATACGTCTTCTGTCAAACTATACCATAAATTGAACATATCATATATGTAACGATTGCATATCGGATTATATAATATAATATGATTAACAGTATGATCAATATGAATTGTTCAATAATATGCAAACGAGCATATTAAATTGTGACTTTGATTAGTAATTCATGGCTACAAAGTTTACTAAGCACTGAATATCGTAGAGTTTGCCATGTGATGCCAATTGGAAATTTGTAAATTGACAAAATTATCGAAAGTTTTGCATTAAAATGATTTTCAAAAACAATTTTCTTACCATAAATTACTCCACAAGAATTCCACGCATCGAATGCTACGTAAATGAAAGGTTTTAATAATAAATAAAATAATTAAAATGAAAATAAGGGAGATGGCCGACCTGTTGAGCTCCGTTCATAGCAGCCCAGGTGTGTGGTGGTGGGGGGTGCCGTGGTCGTCTCTACTGTAGTGACTGGAATATGTTTGTGGTATAAATATAATTGAATATTATGTTTAATTGAAGATTTATAATTAAAGATAACTTACACAAACGACAATAATTACGTGTAGCTAAAAACTTAAAATTCGAGATAACGTGCAAAACGACAATTACGTGGAGCTAAAAACTTAAAATTCGAGATAACGTGCAAAACGACAATTACGTGGAGCTAAAAATTGAAAATGAAAGATTCCATCATTTAATTCACTTAATGAAAGCTTTTCAAAGACCAGTTCAATAATTAGTTCATAACTTCAATAATAAAAGTAGAATATTTATCGAAAATATCAAAACAATAATTTCTCTGGCAGTCTGGCATGGTCTGTACCTCTGACAGCCTGGCAGTCTGGCATAGTCTTTACCTCTGACAGTCTGGCATAGTCTGTACCTCTGACAGCCTGGCAGTCTGGCATAGTCTGTACCTCTGACAGCCTGGTAGTCTGGCATAGTCTGTACCTCTGACAGCCTGGCAGTCTGGCATAGTCTGTACCTCTGACAGCCTCGTAGTCTATAGAGAAGCCAGTGGCGAGCTGTTCATGATAGTCTGCAAAGAAGACCACGTGGGCGGACGGGTAGTTTATCCGAATGGTTTTTTCGGACGCTAAATTCCCATACAAAAGTTCTTCAGTTCTTTCGAATATTTCAGAACCTGCAGAACAGAACACGTGTCAATATCGCAATGCCGTCTTGTATTAAATAAACCATTATTTACTTACTAGATGTAATCGAATCAATTTAATTCTGAACTTGAGACTTAGGTGGGCATAATTAGAACTAAGAATATTGAATGGGTTATATTGTCCAAATAACAAAACTTTTACTTTTTTACTTTCCCACAGAGCGATCAAAGAGCGGATGTAACACAGAAACGTCGTTTTTGCTAGCCAAAAAAATGACCCACTAAAATTCAATTTTAAAAAAATTGTGTTTTTTAAACATTTTTTCACCATTCACAAAACACACCCACTAAAAAATTTTGTGGGTCAGAATGTCCTACAAAAAGGCAACAAGTGAAAAAATTTGTAAAATATTGAATATAAATATAAATAAAAAATATTTGTAAAAACTCTAATTTATTCCTCCAAACGATCACTTACCGAGCCCGACCAAGATGAAGTCGTTGGTGGTAAGGTTGTTGGTAGAGAGGTTGTCGTGGAGGACAGTCGAGCGCGACCCAAGATCTAGTTTGGTGATGGTGAAGTCCACCACGTGGTTGTTGGGGTACGAGAACACGTACATAATCCTGGAAAGTACATTTTTGTGAAGCATACGTCGTATTAAATATATGATAGTAAAAGTACCAGAATGTTACGAGAACACGTACATAATCTTGGAAAGTACATTTGATAGTGAAGTATACGTCGTATTGAATATGTGATAGTAAAAGTACTAGAATGTTACGAGAACACGTACACAATCCTGAAAAGTACATTTTTTGTAAAGTATACGTCGTATTGAATATATGATAGTAAAAGTACTAGAATGTTACGAGGACACGTACACAATCCTGGAAAGTACATTTGATAGTGAAGTATACGTCGTATTGAATATAGTTTAGTAAAAGTACCAGAATGTTACGAGAATACGTACATAATTCTGAAAAGTACATTGATAGTAAAGTATACGTCGTATTAAAATTTTACTAGTTAAAGTACCAGAATGTTTATATTAATAACCATCGGTGATGTGGTTGTAAGCCATGCCAATATACTTAGTATGTTAACGTGTAAAAATTTTCATATAAGTAAATGACTATAGGTCTGTAAAATGATGAATAGAGAAATGACTGTTGGTCTGCAAAATGATGAATATCGGAATAACCATATCTGTTAAAAGTTAAATGATGAATAACTTAAAAAAATATAATTCATTAGATGCAATAACATGAGCATGGCCTATTGAATAACGGCTCCTAATAATACGTCCGGGATAAATAGTTAAGGTGCTTAAATAGTCATCCTGGGGAGCATAACCATAACCTCTCAATAACTTTTGTTATGGAGCATAACCATAACTTCCCAATAACCTTTGTTGTGGAGCATAACCGTAACCTCCCAATAACCTTTGTTGTGGAGCATAACCATAACCTCCCAATAACCTTTAATGTGGAGCATAACCATAACCTCACAATAACCTTTGTTGTGGAGCATAACCATAACCTCCCAATAACCTTTGTTGTGGAGCATAACCATAATTTTCGATTGATGGTGATACTTCGTCCGGGAAGGTGATGGTGCCTGTGGTGTGGTTGGCTGGTATCTCCGTGGTCTTGAACTCTAAAACATATATGGTGATTAGTTATTAAATATTGGTAAATTATAGTTAGTACTGTTCTGAAATCAAATTATATATTTACTATTATTAAAAAGTTTAACTTCTACACACTATATATTAATTATTCGAGTTTAGCGTTGATATTACGATTGCATAGAAATTAAGTGGATAGATTTTAAGTATCTAAACTATACATTTATTAATATCTAATCAATGTTTATATCACGCTATATTTTGACGTAAGTAATAAATGTTTATGTTTCAATAAAGCAAATAGAAACTGAATTTTTGGGAATGCAAACGAATTAGGTTAAATTAAATGTACGACATATTACTTTTCTCTAATATTCTCAAATTTAAAGGCCTAATAATCGATTTAATTTCAGTCAAATAAAGCGAAATAAATTAAATTATACGTATAACATATTACTTTTCTCTAATATTGTACAATTTAATAGCTTAATAATCGATTTAATTTCAATCAAACAATAACGTTTCTGCAAAAACTGCAATCCTTTGTGATGACAAGCGTTAAACTCACTCGGCTCGACGGCAGCATATCTCATGCTGATGTAGCATGATGGTGATGCAGCAGTGACGGTGATGTTGTCATCAGTGGTGGTGTAGAATGTGGTGACCGCCCTAAGTGCGTTCTTGTCACTATACTGCCGACCGTTGATGATGAAGTTACATGATGATGATGATAACGTTGATAGGTCATTCTTATCCATCCAGATCATCACCTCCAAGGTCTTGTTTGGGCTGACTCTGAACTTGAACGTCAGGGGACCAGTGAACTAGGAAATGAATGAGGAAATATGTATAAAAAATATTATCTTATCAAGTCAAAGGAGCATATCAATGAGAATTCAGAAATTCGAGAAAGAGAGTCTTATAATATTTACAAATATTTTGGTCTTGCAACGTGTACCTACATACCAGTCATATAATATTTACAAATATGTTGGTCTTTCAACATGTACTTACACATGTTAGTCTTGCAACATATACATACATGCTAGTCATATAATATTAACAAATATGTTGGTCTTTCAACATGTACTTACATACCAGTCATATAATATTTACAAATATGTTGATCTTTCAACATGTACATACATACCAGTCATATAATATTTACAAATATGTTGGTCTTTCAACATGTACATACATACCAGTCATATAATATTTACAAATATGTTGGTCTTTCAACATGTACATACATGCTAGTCATATAATATTTACAAATATGTTGGTCTTGCAACATGTACATACATGTTAGCCTTATAATATATACAAATATGTTGGTCTTGCAACATGTAAACACAAGTTAATGTTACAACCTATTCTCACCGAGACGTCTGTGGTGATGTTGCCGTAATGTTCTGTACATGTACAGTCTCCATACGCGCATGGAATTTGCGTGATGTTATCACACGGCAGGAATTCAATGGTTTGATCTGCGCTTCGTGGCGGCGCGTTTGGTTCAATGGATTTGGATTCTGATATTTGATTTAAGATTCTAGGTTCCGATCTTGGATTATAGATTCCAGAATCCAATTTGGGATTCAGGATTCCGATGTTCGATGTGGATTTTAAACTTGAATTCTGTAAGAGTTGGATGGCGGGAAAGGATACCACGTCATCCAGATGCGGATGCACTGAAGTCACTCGTCCGTACACTGCGATGTAAAAGTTCGTTATAAGATATGCATGAAGAGTTGCCTTTTGTACGCGCATTAATGAGCACGCAATTGAAGAATATTTCTTACATAATTGAATGAGCCCGCAATAGTTTCTGGTTCCGTACATATTGAATATGTACGCGCAATATTGAACATGAACCACCTGATAATATATATAATTAATGCATCAACGTTATACGAATAGAACAAATCCACAATGTACGAATTGAGCAAATCATCGATCTACGAATAGAAAAAATCAACGCTGTACGAATAGAAAAAATCAACGCTGTACGAATAGAACAAATCAACGCTGTACGAATAAAACAAATCAACGCTATACAAACAGAATAAATCAACGCTCTACGAATAGAACAAATCAACGCTTCACAAATAGAACAAATAAACGCTGTACGAATAGAACAAATCAACGCTTCACGAATAGAACAAATCAACGCTGTACGAATAGAACAAATCAAAGCTGTACGAATAGAACAAATCAACGCTGTACGAATAGAACAAATCAACGCTGTACGAATAGAACAAATCAACGCTGTACGAATAGAACAAATCAACGCTGTACGAATAGAACGCCACTCACCGCAGACCAGAAGTAGCGTCACGAACAGAGCTTTGCTGCGTGGCATGCTTGAGTTTCTGTTTATAGTTGTCGTAATCATGTAAATTACCCTTCTAGGGTAACTATCCTCGAACTAATTACTCCGAGTCTTGCTTCAGGTAAATTCACAAATCCTTCTTCATAGATATTTGTAGATACATTAGTATTAACTCTCTATAATAAAGTATTTGAGTCTAGTCTGAATTTAGATAGCTCATTACTATTTTCAGTATAATATAACACTTATATAATTATGATATAAAATCACTTCTACATAGTTACGATCTTATTTCACTATTTCAAATCACTATCATGATGTATGAATCAAAATTCCTCTGAGTGAGTCTAATATTACTAGTAAAACGATGTCTTATAGATGATAATCAGCCGGCACAAGCGAGTCACGAAACAAAAGTGAGTTACTCAGACACATTAACATCCCTAACTAAATTTAGAGTCGCCCCAGCTTCTGGTAATCCAAATCAGGAGATGCCGCGTCTGTAAATTTAGAGTCGCCCCAGCTTCTGGTAATCCAAATCAGAAGCTGCCGCGTCTGTATATTTTCACTGGGTAATATAATTTAGAGTCGCCCCAGCTTCTGGTAATCCAAATCAGAAGCTGGCGCGTTGTATCAGGTACAGCTGCAACAGCTGTAACATGTATCAGGTATAGCTGTAATAGCTGTAACACGTATCAGGTACAGCTGTAACAGCTGTAACGCATACCAGGTATAGCTGTAACAGCTGTAACGAACGCGTTTCGGGTTTAGCTGTAACAGCTGAAACGCTTTACCTACTACCATAACACGTATCAGAAATAGCTGTAACTGCTGTAACGCGTACCAGGTATAGCTGCAACAGCTGTAACGTTTTACCTACTGCCGTAACACGTATCAGAAATGGCTGTAACAGCTGTAACACGTATCAGAAATAGCTGTAACAACTGTAACATGTATCAGGTATAGCTGTAACAGCTGTAAAGTTTTACCTACTGCCGTAACACGTATCAGAAATAGCTGTTGCAACTGTAACTCGCGTCTGGCACGGATGTAACAGCTGAAACTCTGTACCTACTACCGTAACTCGTATCAGAAATATCTGTAACATCTGTAACGCGCGCCTGATATAGCTGTACCAGCTGCCACTTTAAAGCAGCTTGCGTAAAGCTGCAACACTAACGCTATTCCCTGCAGCTGCTCACGTTGCTGCTCTTATCATCGACGCAAGTTCCTTATCGCTCGTCATTCTTATCAGTTACTTCAATGCCTTAATGTATACGATTCACCGGCAATAAAAGTTTTTATTAGACCTAATTCAAGCACTTTAAGGTGTAATTCTTCAGCACAAGAATTTATAAGACATGTTTTTTCTCTTGAATTAATACTTTGAAATAATTAATTAGAACTTGGGAGAATTTTAACTTATTTTTTTTTGTCGTTTCCCTTCTGATTTTTAGGGGTTTCCTTAGTATACAAGCAAGATGTAAATCGGGCTGCTGATTAACAGTATTTTGTAAAGCAAATTAATGAATATGGATTAAACAGGAAATTGAATGGCACATGTCTGCATTTACTTGTGTGCTATGTATTGTATTGTTGAATTTACAACATAGATGTTGAATTTTGGATATTTAAGGTCGATTTGAGAATCAACAATGACAAGTTAGAACTTTAGTCGGAAACTGTCATACGTTAAGCCAGGATCTTGCGTGATGGCAATCTTATCTCTCTAGACGTCACTTGTTATCAGTGAACATGCACGGTATCTGTTAACACGCACGGTAAGCAGAACACGGTATCTGCATTACCGTCAAGATACCCTTGGAATACCGGATACAAATCCATCAGCACCTGATATGATGGTCAGCTATCGTGGACACCAAGCTGAGTTTTTTTTTAATTCATCGAGTTCTTTATCTTACGTGTAAAATATTTTCATGTTACGTGTAACCTGTTTTTTATTTTACGTGTAACCTGATTTTTTGCTATGTGTAATCTGTTTTTATGTTACGTGCAACCTGTTTTTTTTTGGTTACGTTTAATCTGTTCTTATGTTACGTGTCACCTGTTTTCTTTTTGGGTTACGTGTAATCTGTTTTTATGTTTCGTGTAACTTGTTTTTAAGTTACGTGTAACCTTTTTTTTGTTACCTGTAACTTTTTTTATGTTACGCGTAATTTGTTTTTATGTTTCGTGCAATTTGTTTTATGTTACGTGTAACCTGTTTTTTATTACCTGTAACTTGTTTTTATGTTAGCTGTAACCTGTTTTCCTGTGACCAGTGAGAAATGTGTTGCCAGTTTACATCGTTAACACCTGACTAACGGGAGGTAGAATGTAAATGTTCTTTTATGCCACCCGATTTTTTCAGTTAGATTATTATTTCAGTTCAATTTATTCATATTTTGTTTTTACTTTTTTTTTTACTCGTAAACCTGCATGTCACGCACCTGCAGGCCACGCACCTGCAGGCCATGCACCTGCAGGCCACGCACCTGCAGGCCATGCACCTGCAGGCCATGCACCTGCAGGCCATGCACCTGCAGGCCACGCACCTGCAGGCCATGCACCTGCAGGCCATGCACCTGCAGGCCATGCACCTGCACAGGACCGATGATATTTTCCCTCGGAGTTGCCATGGCAACACGGCAGCGGCAGTGATCGCTGAGTAATCAATAGACCGCCGCGCTGCTGTACGACTTTACAATTAATTGCTTCAGCTTTTATAAACTCCGTGTAAACAATGAAATTAATATACATGTAATGAAAATTAAATTGTGTTAGGAATAATAATGAATTAAAAATATGTGGACGATATGAAGTAAGAAGCAACCGAAGAATATTTGTGCAGTAGTTTGTTGATATTTGCTTCGTGGTGGAGAAAAGTATGAATATAATCTCAAAATTACTACAATGTTTGAAACTAAAACGTTAGAAGGGAGGCTTGCCGATTAATTCATTTTATCCTGCTTTGAAAATAATAATAATTATTTCCTCAATGATAATTCTAAGGTTTATTACTTACATGGCTTTAATTCGAAGATATGAAGCGAGCATTTTATTATATGTACAGTCATGAGCTAAGGCTCGGCGCTTCTCTGTTACGCAGTAATCCATTAAGTTTAGTCATATTCCTCATTGTACAAGTTCTTGTGCATCAAGTATTCTACATGCACGAATATTGCTTGGCAGATATTGCGCATTTTATTTCATTTTTTAGTTAATTAATAATTTCTCTGCAACCCTAATTATTCATATTAAATAACTGCACTCCCGTTACCCTCAGAACTTTTCCCCTCACATCACCGTAGCCCATAGTATACACGAGGGCAAGTGGGCAGGAAATGTACACTCTGTAGTTAGGTTGGCTAAATTTAATTTACAATGAACTTGGAGTGAAATTTAAATATGTTAAAATAATAAAATACGTTTTGTTAATATGTTAATATTTAAATATATATTTATATGTTAATATTTAAATATGTTTGTGATTAAATATAATAAATATAAGAATAATTAGATCAGTACTCACTGCAGTGAATGACAGAGAGCGCATTTTCTCGTCCGTCCGTGGCGTGTAGTCACGGACAGACAGACGGATGGACGGCATGACGAGCACAGTGGCGTTTTTTTCCATAAATTAGGAAATTAGATAAAAAATTGATGCATAAGTCGAAATATTTATTTATGTTGAATGTATAAAAGGTAGGCAGATGAGTACGTGGAAGTAAATTAGTAATAAAATTTCATCACTTATCTTTGAGGTGAATGACGGAATGTAAAAGCTTCATTTCTAATGTAAATATGGAGGAGTCAAACTTTCATATTCAATGTGAATATTTGGAAATAAAAAAATCTTATTTTCCAGATGATGGTGCGTATGTGAGAAATTTATTTTTGGGTGAATAGGTAGAGCAGATTACTCATTTTGAATGTGAATATGTGAAGTAAAATACTCAACTCTTGCTTGCGTATACGGAAGTAAAAAGTCAGCTTTAAAGTGAATGTGTGGAAATGAAACATTCATCTTTAAGGTGTATGTGTGGAAATGAAACATTTATCTTTAAGGTGTATGTGTTTAAATGAAATACTCATCTCCAAGGTGAATGTGTGTAAGTGAAATAATTATCTTTAAGGTGAATATGCGTAAATGAAACATTCATCTTTAAGGTGAAAGTGTGTAAGTGAAAAATGTCCGGAGGCCAGCGCTCTAGACATTCTAAGCCAGAAATAAAAACGAGGCTCAAAGTTGCTAACTTTTAACGAAGAAAGAAGCGCGCCAAACTTGCCTCTTGATACCAAACTCAAGTTGAAGTTAGCGGCAAACTATTCAGGCGGTATTATCCTGATGTGTTATGAACGCGTGTCGGTGTTATGTATCCTGATGTGTTATGTATCCTGATGTGTTATGTATCCTGACGTGTTATGAACGCGTGTCGGTGTTATGTATCCTGATGTGTTTTGTGTGTCTGCTCAGTGCTGCCACTCGCATACCAATTTCACGGTTTATTTTGACTAGCGTTCAATGAAGGCACTAATCCATTCGAACACGGTCGATTGTTGCCAAGGACTTTAATTAATACTAGTTTATTCGGGGAAAATTGAATGCTTCATATTTTCGATGTCCTAAAAATTAAATAGTTGGACATAATAATAGATAACAGGTAAAATTTTATAAAGAAGGCGATTGAAATCGCGACTCCAAATGATAGCAATCGCCAGTGTCTGCTCAGCAGTTTTAATACGATATAGTCTTAGCTATCCTTTTCGTTTTTATTTAAATAATCATTTATAATTTACCATTATATTCGTATTAACTTGTATAATGAGATTAGTTATCATTAGTAGAGATATTAACTGCTAGAACTACATAGATAAATCACAGCAGTGAGATACTTAAATATTAGGAGTAAATCCCGTGGATTTCTGGCGGTGGGATAGATTCATTTGTGGAGGACGAGGGTAAGGTATAATGTAAGGAATGGTATACAATATATGGTATAATGTGAGGAATTTTGCAGATATTATATGGTATAAAATGTGAGGAATATTGCAGGTATTCTATGATATAATGTGAGGATAGTTGCAGGTATTTTATGGTACAATGTGAGGAATGTTGCAGGTATTGTATGGTACAATGTGAGGAATGTTGCAGGTATTGT